GCCACCGGTCCCGACGATTCCCCCCCCCGATTCCCCCCTGGCACTGGTGGCGAGGCCTGAGCGCCTCCCAGCCACTGGTCCGCCACAGAGTTCCCAGAACGTTCTCTGCGCATGCGCAGGGAACACTCTTACTTTTGGGGGGATTTAAATATCACCTGTACAGTTTTTAAAACGTTTTAGATTTTTCTGCACACCTGGGGACTGCCCCAAGTGTGCAGGAAAATCTCCCTGCCCCCCAGTGCCCCCAATGTGCGGATTTAGATATCCGCACGGAGGGGGCAACTCGGCTATTAGTTATATAGATTTATATACTTCATTATTAAAACCTTCTAAAGTAGTACATCAGAACAATTCTGATAACATGCATAGCCAAATAAACATTTCAAATATGTAATATGCAACTTCAGATAAGCTTTTGATTAACAAAGCTTTTTGCATAAGCAGCAATTAATTTACCTTTGATTATGTTTACAAAAGTTATATGGGGGCACTCATATAAAAGTATTAATTTGAAGGGCTAAGTAGGCGAACATTTGTTGACCAGAAATTGCATTACGATTTTTTCCTTATATGTGTGAAAGTCTGATCAAGTTTGAGAGACAGTTTGGTGTAGTGGTTAGGAGCATGAACTCTAACCTGGGAGAACTGGGTTTGATTCCCCACTCCACATGTAGCTGCTAGTGTGACCTTGGGTCAGTCACAAGTTATTTCAGAGGTATTCTTTCAAGAGCAGTTCGCAAAAGAGCTCTCTCGGCCACACCTACCTCACTTGGTGTCTGTTGTGGGGAGGGGAAGGGAAAGGAGATTGTCAGCCACTCTGAGACTCATTCGGGTATTGAAGGGTGGAGTATAAATCCAATCTCGTCTTCTTCTTTAATAATTGATGTGGTTGGCAATTTGGAGTTTAAGGGGCGTATTTTGTTCATATTCCTGTTTGAGAAACAATAATTCTGAATGTCAACTTGTATACCTTGATATTTTGCATTATTGTGATATTTCTGTGTCTCAGTGATGTACATATTAAATGCATTGGCTGAAAGGCAGTACATAAATATATGCATTGACATTAATGAACTGTAGCACTGAAGCAAAGTATGGTGCATGTGATTTGAAAATCTTAATTTTTTTGTTTTGTTTCTCCCCCCCCCCTTTCTGTAATCCTTTTTATTAGAAAGCAAATCAAAAGGTCTTCAATGGGTGATAGATACAACCATTGCGTATCCTAAAGCTGAACCTCTAGACATTCAGACCTGGATTCTGGGCTACAGGCGACCAACAATTACTCATGTACATTACAGGTAGGAAATGTGCTTTGTTCACAGTTAATGTTGAGACTGCAAAATATTTTAGGTCCCTGCAGTACATTTCAGATACAAGATAGTTGAAATACAATATTCAGAGAACTTTATGCTTCTGAACTGTTAACCTTCTTGAGCAGGCAAATAATATTCAATGGCTATAAAATGTGTTGCTGGAGAAATCTGTATTTTATATTAGGGCCACGGCCATCCAAAGTTCTGTTGAGTTTGGTTGTTGTGCACTATTCACAAGCATTTAATAGGTGCTACATATAAGATCTGTAACATCATGTTGTGAGTGTCTATAACCTTGCATGGCTTGCAAAGGAGAATTTGGCCCTGGAAGAAGACACTGGTTAATGGTGAAATCTAAAAAAGGCTTTTGATCGTTTCTAGCAGCTTTGCTTTGAGTCTTTGCTCTGGACCTTCAGCTGAATTTCCTGTCATGGAGAAAATAACAATGAACTTCTTTGGACTTTCAAATTGCTGTGAGGGTCCCATGTTTTCTGACTATAATGCTACTCCTCTTGTGCACTGGTGCACACGCTATCCAACATCTGATAAACAAAGATGAGGAGGGGCTTTGTCTCTTGTCATAAAGCTTCTCTCCACTTCCCCACCCAACACAATCCATATAGGGCCACACTTTTGAGCCAGCACGCTCTCCAGAGGCTTTGCCTTTAGTGCAGCTCCGTGAGTGATACCTACATATATTACAGCAGCAACAGAGCTCATGAGTTAAGATTAATTGATACTGATATGGCCAGTAGTTCTGTTTCTTTGGCCATAAAATGTCATCTTGCAGCCAGTATGACAGGAGGTCTAGAATACGCAATATCCTTTGTTCATAACTCGGGTCTTTAAAGTGTTTGAAATAACAGTTCATCAAAGATTGGTTATCACTAAATGTCCATTCAGTGACTGAAGCTTTAAACTGTAAACTGCTCTTCCACTGATTTCAGGACTTATGCCCAGCCATTGAAAACCCACTTTTGCATGATCAGGCTCCACATCGCAGTGGCAACAGATGTAAAGGTTTCATCTAAATTTAATGCTTTGGTGTTCACCACCTTCAGGACCCATTTTGGGTAGAAAGGTAGCATATAAAAGTTTTAAATAAATAAAGCTTTTTACTCTGAGTGTGCTATGTTGTTTCCTAGATTGGGTAACAAATTGCATTTTTTGGCTTTATGATGTTCCCGCTGAACATAGCTTCATAGCATGCATTTGGCATGTTTCCAGGCATGTTTCTACTTTGCAAGCACTACAAGACATGTGAAAATGGAATTGCCACATAACATGTGAAATTGTTCTTTGACAATATGTACGTTCTATTGCAAAGAGATTTGTCAGGAAGTTTAATGTTGTAAAAATGTTCTGTTAGTTTCAGAATTAGTGAATGCTCAGACCACTTCAAATGTAGGTGGAGGACAGTGGGCCCAAGCGTACTCTCCAAAGTGATGTACTGCCAAGACTGGCCACTAATCCCTCTCACTTTTCTCTTCTAAGCTGCCTGAAATAGTTCAGGGTGTGATCTGAAAGATACATGCAAGAGAAGCAGTAGTAGTCTTGGTTGTGTCCTGTATTCCATCTTTCTTCTTTTGGAACTATAAACTAATCTGAGAAAGTGCAGAGAAAGAAGGAGTGTGGTTAGCGGAAGATTATTTGACTTAAGGGTTACCAGTTGCATGGCTTTTATCAAAATGGGTCTATGGTAAGGATTTTAAATATCATACAAGGCTTTCAAATACACTGTTTTGTCTGGAGATAAACTTAGTTTTACTGCAAATAACCATTTACAAAATTTATACCTCATCTTTCTGGCCTCATCAGAGCTACCAAGGCAACTGAGTAAAAACATACAAAATAAATAGACATATTGGAAACCATTAAATCAAAAACACATCATTCACACAATTAAAACCATGTTTAAATATACATAAAATACAATAAAATACAAATACATAAAAACAGCAATTAAAAACAGGGCCGGAAGGAGGGATCACTGAGAGAACACATGACAAAACAAAAAAGTCTTCACCTGCTGGTAGAACAAGCAACAGAAGGGGACAGACAAATCTCCCTGGGGAGAGAGTTCTAGAGTTTTGGTGCCACTTTGGCCTATCAGTCGAAGCTGGAGAAAGGCACTCCTGGCCACAGCTGCCACCTGCTTATCCAGCAGTAGGCCTGGGTCCAAGAGCACATCCAGAACAGGTGGCACTTTAAGTTCTAGGTGAGACCTCCTGCTCACCAGTAGCATTTCTGTCTTATCACAATTAAACTTCAGTTTATTAGCCTGCATCCACTCCATTATGCACGAAAAATTTAGAAGGACAAAGTGTGAAGACTTAGATAAAGATTTTAGAGCTGTGGGGCTGCTTTAGAAGCACCCTCATTATGTTCACTTCAAACATACCTTTCCTCAGTTAACCTTTGACAGAAAGGAAGATGTGGAGGACGATGACAATCTGGAGCTCAGCCTTCCAGAGACCATCCATGACCTTTCCAACCTACTGCCCCCCTCCGGCTTTCCTTGCCTAGTCTTGCTCTCTCCCTCTTTTGTGCCTGCTGGGGTGCTGCTATGGTAGTTTCCCAAGTACCTGGGAAATGTGGCATTCCAAGGGCATGTGCCATCTGTGGCCATCGGGAACTGTAGTAATTCTGTGTCCAACCAAATGACAGGGAGGGAGGGATGCCTCCTTTTGCAGCCATCTTGGCCACCAGGTGAATAGGTGAGAGGACCCATCTTTGACTGCAATCCAAGACAGATTAGAGTTGAGGATAAAAAGTGCTTTTATGTTTCAAAACCAGGAAATTAGAAATTTAGGTTTCTTTACTATTTCATAATCTTGTTCAAATGCCTCCCAGGTCCCCCTTGAGAGCCTGTGTTGTATAAAACATTGCAAACTCAGCTGCAGCTTGTTCTGTTACCTAAAACCTTTTCAGCCTAATAAATTACAGTTTAAATAGCACAGCAAAGTATACTAAAGGTAATGATAGCATAACAGCATGAGAAGGACAAATGAAAGGTGCAGTGGCAGACAGAATCCTATTATGAAAGATTTTTGCTTCAGACTGTCTTTTAGAGGCCAAACTCAGCTGGTCACTTCATGTCTTTAACTGGAAGGCCAATGCACAACAGTGTTATATAAGAGAAGCCAAGAGGCACTTACATTAGAGAGTTCCCTAATAAGAGTGGAGAGCAGTTACTTTCTTGACCTTTCAATGTCTTCCGGGCTTACTGAGGATAAAATGTAATAGCAGGGCTGAAAAATGGAGACAGTGATGATGGGAATGTTAGTTTGTTTGGGGGAAGAGTTGTTTAATGAACAAACGACTTAAATCCATTATTTGATGTTTGACATGGTTAGGAAGTTCTTATTATATGAAGCTTCAGTGTCCACATTAGCTTATGTAATTTTTCAACAAAAACTGCACATATAACTAGTTATCCTATTATAACACATGAGGAGAAACATTCCCTTTTGTTGTTTACAGAAGTGTTCCAGTAATAGGTAAAGAGAGTGATACTATTATTTGCTGAATATGAATCCATGTACCACAGGACTCAGTGCTACAGCAATAGAGAAAAAGGATACTGGGGATGTTCCTGCTTCTTGAAACATGAGGGCTGGTGTTCTGCCATCAGGCAAAAATCCTGCCTGGTACAAAAGTACTATGCAACTGTCCATGTTGGGGTAGGAAATGAGTGGTGATGATAGCCGAATTGATTTATTTACAGCAATTGGCAATTTATAAATGAGTCCTTGCCAACTATACCAAGGTCCTGTTCCCACAAGGGTTACCAGAGAAGGATAGAGGCTGTTGTTGATAAAATAAATGTCTTTTACTTAAAGAATAAATCTCATACAAACAATACTGATGTACCCACACATTCAATCACGTTCCTCAGAATTACAGTATTCAAATAAGCACAGTTGCATTAGCAGGTGGGGGTGATGATGGGCAATACTTATCTGTCTCGCAGCTTTGGTTGTTCCAATGAAGAATGGATGGGAAGAAATGGAAACTAAAGGGATTTCACACATGACCAGAACCAGCCAGAACGTGTGGGCAGTGGAGGCAAGGGTTGGGGATAGCAAGTGGGACTTAAGAGGAGTAAAAAGCAGACAGGGGTTGTTGCGGGGCATGCTAGCTGATCAAGTAGGAGGGGCCAGGTGACTGGTTCTCTCCTTTTCTAGTGAGTTCAAGAGATGGGCGGTAACCGTGCCAACCTCTTGGCCCACCTGTTAGTCCGTTCCCAAAAACAATCCTATTGGTTGCCTGTAGGAGTGGGAGGCTACCTATAAGGAGTGGCCAATATTGTAATCTAAAACCTTACTCAAAGGAGGGCATCTGGGCAGGTGTGAAAACCTTGGCGTCAGGATGCTCCATTGTAGTGTTGATGAAGCTGTCCATTATCATTGTGAACCAAATGTCCATTTGGCAGGAAATGCCAAAGCAGGAACAAAGCAGTGATGTGTCATACATGACCACAAATAATTCTGCAATGGGGGCTGTCTCTTCTCAAGCTGTTGTTTCTTACTGCTCACAATAATGGAGGTGTGTGCTTCTTCACCAGGCTGGTAACTGTGTAGCTGAAACCTTATTTACACGTGTAAGGCTTGTGCAGGCACCTTCTATGTGTTACATCACAACAGGTGACTTAAAATGTACAGTTCTCTGAGCCTATGTGTGTGTGTGCACAGTCCATTGTGTGTAGCAATAAATATAGTCCATAAAGCAAAATATCAAGTTCATTCTCTAACAGTGAGGATGTGGAGCTGTGGAGTTTTACAGCAAATTAGACAAGATTTGGGAAGGTCCATAATTCAATTCCCAGCACCTTTTCAGTTACTAAATAGTAGCTAAAGGGGACCTTAACTCTTTGTCCGAACACTGCTTCCTTGACCTCAAGTGGCCTTCCAGAGCTACTGCTTACTGATTTGGTGAACTTACAGCATCTTGGCATATTTTCCACAGTGAGGCAACCAGCCCCT